AAGTGAAGTTTTTGAGAGAATCTGATGGAGCATCTGATTTGAATGATCCACGAACATTCAATTCGTAATGACGGGGAGGAATGTTGTTTAGATCTTGGTAAAGGAAGCCGTTTCGGAGATACAGAGCTAAATGTGCAAAAAATAGCTAAAAAAATTTTTGCTTGTGTTGTCGAAACAATCGCTTTTGGGAAATTTTTTTTTATTTCCAAGCTTTTTTTTAATTTTTTAATATCGAAAATTAATCGAATTTAATTTTTTTTCTAGCTAAAGTTCTAAAGCTCACTTATATACTTAAAATAAATAATTTTAACGTTGCAATTCAGTTTATATAATTTTTATAAATATTAGACAATGTCGATTGATTAAGTTTTGCTTATTTTGTTTTCTGTAAACATATGTAAGTTACAGTATTTAAAAAAATATTCTATTTGAAAACATTTAATTATCGCCGAACATTTTGTTACGGTACGGGAAGTTCCAGCAATTTGTCTTAAGTCACGATGCCACACACCACTGATTATTTTTCATTATTATTTTTGCTGATGATTGAATATTTTAAATCATACAATTTGATGCTTACTTAAAATTTTCTGCAAGATTATTAAATTAAACTAGATATTATTTTTATAATTTACTTAATTAACTTTTTACTATAAGTACTATTGCAAAATTCAGGAAAAAAGTTAATTAAGTAGAATATAAAAGAATATCAAGTTTAATTGAAATATCTAGTTTTATCTAAATTAATTGAATTATGTTATTTTTAGAACAGACCTAAGCAGATAAGCTTAATTCTACATTGAAATTATTTATTTATTAGAGAGAATGCGTTTAAGTGCAAAGGGCGGTTATATACTGGGAGGTTCGATGGCCGCGCGAACAGCAAAAACTTTTACAGAAGTAAACGTTATTGAATAAATTATAGGAAATTTTGTCTACTTTAAGCTTGCATTTAGATATTTTATTGCAACATGAGTCGGCAAGGAGATATCGTTGAAAAACTGATTTTTGGCGCGATTTTTTCAATATGACGGCGGCAGCGGCAAAATTTAAGGTCGCAAAGTTGAAATTCGTGAACATCACATCAAAATCTATAAAATCACCAATTTTCAAAACTTTTGGAAAACTTTTAAAGTAAAACTACTAAATGACTGAACTATTAAGAAAAGAAAACAGAATTAATTACCCGTATGATTGATTATATACTAATACTTTTTCACTAAAAACGATTTTATCAGAAAAAACATGATTTTATGCATTTATTTTCAGACGAAGGGACAAATTTTGTAATTCATTTCTTTTTAGTTGTATCCTTTTTTGCATTCACTTGCCAACCAACTAGTGCAGTGACGCTACATGTCTACCTGCAGTATAGTGCTATTGACATAATTTTTATTGTTACAGTTCAAACGTGTGTCTCATAGTGGGACATGTCCAGTTTGAGTTAGATAAAATTAATTTATAATAAATAAATCAAAGTAATAAATAAAAAGTGATAAACAATAACACTGTGAATATTATCATATTATTTAAGTGATGTTTCCCCATGGGAAAAATTATACGATAAGCCATCAAACTAATGAAACGTCAATGATGGACTGGGAAAAAATGGATTTAGAAACTCGCCCAATTAAATCAAGGAAGGTAACTAAAAATTTCGAACCTGTGAACAAATAAGAAAATCAATCTGATTTGAATGAAAATACCAGTAAGGATTCAGACTGGATTGAAATAAAAAATAAAAAATTTAAACGCACCCAACACGCTGAACCACAACCCAACACCAACAAGGAACTTTTTTGAAGTTTTAGCCAGCCCCGATTCTGAAGAAGTGACCGAAACGATTAAAGCTGTGCACAATAAACCGCCGCATATATTTATACATGATGTACGAGACATAAAACCATTATCGGTACATTTAGAAAACGAAGCAAAAATTTTGTATAAATTGAAAGTTATTGATGATACAAAAGTGAGAATAAATCTTGATAATCGCAACTATATAATAAAATTATTAAATTATTGAAAGTAAGAGACACACAAATGCATTCTTTTCAAGATAAAAGAAATCGCACTTTTAAATTGTTGTAAAAAAATTGCATCACAGCACTGATGTCAATATTCTGCAAGAGGAAATTATAGTTCGCATCGCAAACCTCAAGGCTTACGAAATATCCACTGAATATATTCGTTGTCGAGCTCGAACAACAACCAAGTAATAAACATTTTTACAAAATCGAATTTTTGTACAAAACCAAAGTAACGATCGAGGCTAAGCGATATACTAAAGAAAGCGTCCAGTGCACCCGCTGCCAAAGGCAAGGCCATACCCGGAACTATCGTCACATGATGTGTGAAGTGCGCTCAAAATCACCTGACAAAGAAGTGTTCATTTGGAGACAAGATCAATGATCAAGTAAAGTGTGTTTTATGTGGTCTCAATCATCTTGCCAACTACAAGGGATGCAAAATCTATAAGGAACAATTTAAAAAAAAAAATCCATCACCAAGGCAGAGAATTCATGCCTCAAATTTTAAGCCAGGTATCTCATACTCATATGTAACGAAAGCTCAACAAACATTGATAATATCAATGATTTGTTAGAATTGAAAAAAATGATAAAAACACTTACGGAACAAATGAGCACTATGCTGAATTTACTACAACCATTCTAGCAAATAAATCATGTATTTCAAACTAACAATCTGTTTATGGAATAGAAATGGCTTGTGTAATCACACTCAAAACCTTAAATATTTTTTAACATTCAACGATATAGATATAATGCTTATATCGGAATCACATTTCACTGACAATAGTTCCGTACGTATACCAAATTATATAGTTTATAATACTCCACACCCAAGCGGAAGACCTCATGAAGGAACTGCGGTTATTATAAAAGCTAACATAAATCATCATTATGCTGAACCATTCCAGAAGGACTTTCTTCAAGCAATATCGATTTCAGTCAATGTACCATCGCATAACCAGCTAGTACAATCGGCCATTTACTGTCCGCCTAAACATAGGATCACCGAAGATCAGTTTATTAATTTTTTTAATACGCTGGGCTCATTTATAGCGGAGGAGTCTATAATGTAAAGCACACATTCTGGGGTTCTAGACTGATTACCCCTAGAGGCCGAGAACTTTACAAATTCATTGAAAAAAACAATTTTAAGCCAATATCAACCGGCGAGCCTTCTTATTGGCCAACAGATCTTAACAAAATTTCTTATTTAATAGATTTTTTCATAACTAAAGGCGTTAACAATGATTGTTTAGATATCAAATCAAATTTAGATTTGAATTCCGATTA